CTCTTTGCTCCTCACAGAGGTCCTAGTAGAATTGTGTTCCATAAATAGTGTTTGAATGAAGAAATGAGTTTAATTATATAATAATAGCTAATGTTTGGATAACTTCTGTAGGCCTAAAGCACTAGTTCTCAGGTTTCAGAATGTGTGTGAGACTTATCTGGGGAAATAGCTGAAGTATAGATTCCTGGACTCTACCCCCAGAAATGCTGATTCTGACAAGTGGAGTTCAAAAATCTGTAATTTTAGCAGGTGTCCAGATGATTCTAATGTGAGTGTCTCTGGCCCATATGTTGAGGAACACTGATTTTAAACATAAAAAAGTAATACCACGGCCTATAGTAAGAAATATATTTTATAGTATGATACAGTTCACACACATCTATATACACATATACCTGAGACAAAACTTTCTCCAAACAATACTAACCCTTACTATGGGTCATATAGTCTGATATTTTCTGTTTATTCATTTTATTACAAAAACATTGCCCATGACTAACCACAGTGATTTCACATCTTTTATCTCATTCAATTCTCACATCAGTGCTGAAAGGTAAGCACTTTTTAACTACATCTTTCCTACCTGGAAACTTAAATTTAGGGAAGATAAATGTGCCCAATGTTTCACATTGCATTAATGGCAGAGATGGAGTTCAAATGTCCAAGGCCTGGCCTTAAACGGCCCTGACCTACCCTCACCCTGACACAGACATCCAGAAAAAACTCAGCAAATCTCCACTTCTGCAATACATTCAGACTAACTTTGGTTTCCCCAGTTGAATCCTATCATCTTTAAATACCAATTTGAAATTTCTAAGAGAAAAAGAATTACACTCAACTTGGACCAGGTGTGAACTCTGATCCATTCTGCTGTAGTCAAAAGGATGTTGGGGAGGAGGTCACCCAGTATAGTCATGGCCACCTAACCCCACAGCAAGGGCTGGACCTGGGGGTAATTTCAAAGAAGGGGCAAAGGGCTCTGCAGTCTCATAGAAACACATTTACTATACCTGCATTTCTCACCATTTGACAAGGAATTTTCTGTCTCCCTCTCCAGGTAAGTCTTCACTGCAGCATTTTACCAGGAACACTGGAACAGTGTAATCCAAGTGTCTTCTATCTCCCACCCACTGCCAAACCCCAGTCCTCATTTCCCCCAATACACAGCAGAGATAGTTCTGGAAGTTCTCAATGAAGACGAAGAAGAATGCCACAATGAAAAGGGCACCTCCTTCAGTCTTTGTGACTGGGGACAGCGATCAACTTTTTGGGTCAATAAGAATCTTAAGCCTTGGCTGGTGTGGTTCAGTGGATTGAGCACCAGAATGAGAAGCAAAGGGTCGTTGGTTCAATTCCCAGTCAGGGCACATGCCTGGGTTGCAGACCTGGTCCCCAGTAGGGGGTGCATGAGAGGCAACCACACATTGATGTTTCTCTCCCTCTCTTTCTTCCCCCTCCCCCCTCTCTAAAAAAAAATAAATATAATCTTAAAAAAAATCTTAGGAGATTTAACAGTAGCTGATTCATCTCTGTGTTTAAGGTTGTCACTGTTGTCCCCTTCTTCCCTGGGTGCCAACAGCAGTTTTTTTGTCTTAGGTTGTGCAAAATTTATTACATAATTCAAACTTTTCATTCAAGACACTATTTTTTAACCTTTTGAAAAATTGCAAAACTTCTTTCAAAAGTTGTTGAGTAAAAAAAATCATTATTAGCCTTTTTAAAAAGAATTCAAAATGGAAAATTATTGTAGCTGTTCTTATTCCTTTCTTAATGTAGACACACACCTCTCATGAAGTCCAGCTATGGAAGTTTCAACTATGCCAAGAAGCAACCACCTGAATGCACCTGATCTCAACTATGCCCCTTCCCTACAGCCCCTGGCAACCACCATGTTACTTCCCATCTCTGTGAATTGACTGCTTTAGATACTTTATCTAAGTGGAATCATACAGTATTTGTCTTTTTGTAACTGGACACTTGGGTTGCTTCCATCTTTTGGCTATTGTGAATAATACTTCTATGAACATGGGTGTGCAAGTATGTCTTTGAGATCCTGTTTTCAATTCTTTGGGGTTTGCTGGATCATATGGTAATTCTGCTTTTAATTTTTGAAGAACTTCCATGTTGTTTTCAATTATGGCTGCACATTTTATACTCCACCAACAATGTACAAGGGTTCCAATTTCTCCACAACCTCACCAACACATAATTTTCTGGGGGTTTTTTTGTTTGTTTTTTTTTTTCATAGTGGCCACCTCCTTGTAGCTCAGTACATTCCAGCCATCTGGCTGTTCTGTTTTTCAAACATACTTCACTTATTTCTGCCTTAGGCTTTTGTACTTATTGTTCCCTCTGTTTGTAATGATCTGCTTCTAGAATTTTGTGTGGATGGATCCCCAATATTATTCTAATTTCAAGTCAAGTATCACTTCCTTAGAGAGGACTTAACTGACCTTCATGCATAGTAGGACCCCAGAAGAAAAAAAACCGTGGCGCTCTGTTGGGTTGCAATTAGAGATATCAATATGTATGATTATATGTGTATATTTACTTATTTACACTGATACCTAGAATACTACATATTTATAATATGTATGTTCACACTATATATGTTAATAGCGATAGCTCATCCCAGTCTATCAGGCAGAAGGAATTGCCTCATTTAAAGCTGTATAGGAGAGGGTACAGAGTTTGGAATGTATTTTAGTACAATAGAAAGACATGAGGCCCTGGTTCGGGCAGCTCAGAGGATTGAGCTCGGGCCTGTGAACCAAAGGATTACGGTTTGATTCCCAGTCAGGGCACGTACCTGGGTTGCAGGCATGGTCCCCAGCAGGGGGTGCAAGAGCAAAGCTATTTAGAATGGAAGAACAGATAAAGTGCTTCCCAGATAAGGTCAAGTTAAGGAGTTCATCATCACCAAGCCCTTATTATATAAAATGTTAAAGGAATTTAGCTAAGAAAAAGAAGATGATAAAAAATATGAACAGTAAAATGACAACAAACCCACAACTGTCAACAACTGAACCTAAAACAACAAAAACAAACTTAACAAACAACTAGAACAGGAACAGAATCACAGAAATGGAGATCACATGTGGGGTTGTCAGCAGGGAAGGGAAGGGAGGAGTATATGAGAAAAGGTACAGGGAATAAGAAGTGTAATTGGTAGGTAGAAGATAGACAGGGGGAGGTTAAGAATAGTATAGGAAATGGGGAAGCCAAAGAACTTATATGTACCACCCATGGACGTGAACTAAGGGCAGGCAGGGAAAATGCTGGTGGGAGGAGGTATTCAGGGCTGAGGGGAATAAAGGGGAGAAAAAAATGGGACAACTGTAATAGCATAATAAAATACATTTCTTAAAAAATGAAAGTGCAGTGTTACCCTTCAGATAAGCACACATTGTCTGCCACGCTGTACTGTGCATGCTGAGGGGTTGTGTTATTTCCCTGAGTCGTTGCTCTGCTGCATATGCTGTAGACATGGCTCAGGTCCTGCTCTCTACAGTCAGAAAGTCAGGAATCACGTTCTCCTGATCTCTCATCTCATTTGCGTTTCACTTTGCAAAGGCTTCATTGGTCTTTGACTGCAGATTTGTTGTTTTTCTACCCAGATCACAAGGTGGGACATGAGAGCCCATAGCTCCCCAGTTTATGTTTTCTTTATTCCAACAACTAGTCAGACCAAGGCTAGAATATCTAATTTCTAACCTCAAATTCCTGGGGTAGTTTTAGGATCTTACTAAAATTAGAGATGACTTCTTTCTCTAAGACAGACAGTAAAGCAGAAGTTTAAGAACACCAAGAAACAAAGACTAGTTACTTTTTTTTTCTAACTGCTCTTTAGAGAACTTGAGCTGAAATAGCTTACTTAGATTTAGGGGTAGATATAGAGAGCTGTCCCACCACCCATACACGCACTGTGTAGAAATGACAAAGTGCTTCAAAAGAGAGAGAGTTGTTCTAACCCTTGTTAATGTTTCTCCTGAGACTGAAATGATAGGCCTGGGTAATGCTACTGTCTTATTCGAGACAAGTTTCTCTTCATTTATTGCAATAGGTATGATTTATCTCTTGGGAAGATATGCATCTGTCTTGTTATGAGTAATTTAAACACAGAAGTAACATAATACTTTATTAACTAATCAGTTTTTTTTTCAAGAGAAAGAAAAAAGGGACTAATTATATGGAAAATGTTTTGGAGGAAATAAAAGATTAATTACATGGTGGGTGTCAGAAATTCCTAAGAACCATAAGTAGAAATTTGGCCAAAGGCCTCTCAGATCAGAGAGGAACTCTGATTTATCTAGCTTGAGTCAGATGCCTATGATGTGGCTGCTCCCATTTTATCATAGTGGGGTGAGGGGCCACTCTGAGAAACAGATACAGCACAGGGGAAAGAAAATAATTTTCTGGCCTCTTCAGATTGTTCCAGATTCCCCTAGAGGAGCAAAATTATATTGCTTGTCAGCATAATGACATACTAATATTTGAATGGTAGGTATTTTATGTATTTAAAATTTGGAAAAGCTGAGGGAAGTATCCTTGCCCAGCCATACCCACATTGAAATTAAATTGAAAATGTAAAAAATATAAGAAAATGCTGTGTGTTTTATTAAAAAATATATCTGTGCTGATTTCTTAAAGTATTTCTCCTGTATGTCAAAAGACATTTGCATTATTTTATATTATTTATTATGTCCTTTGATGAGATAGAGTTAAGCTTAATGTTCATATCACTCTAGTTTTTTTTCTGTAATTTTGTTTCTAGAAACAAGAATTGGCAAGGGAAGTAGGGCCACTCTATGGAAAAGCAAAAGAATAGCTATAGACATATTAAGAGATTCAGAAGCTGGTAATTCAGTTTTAACTTTACTGATTTTAGTGTATACAAAGTTTCAAAAGAAAAGTCATTCAATATTATGTTGAAGGTTTGTATTTCAACCTCTGTATTTCTTCCTGAAAATATTTCCTTAATGCTGTCCTCTTTTTGACCATCATAAACTATCATATTCAGTACATTCTTCTAGTGAAATGGTTGACAGGTATGGACATACTTTTTCCATTAGAGGTTCCCTGAGAAGAGGCGTTGAAGAGCTCTCTTTCACTAGAGAATCATCAGTAAACCAGTCATCAGCTGCTTCTATAGTTTGGCTGTAACAAGAATCAGATGGTAATGTTGATGAGCTTAAGGTAACATCACCCCAATTTGTTGCTGAGCCAGTTTCTGAGGGGTCACAAATCACTTTTTTTGTTGCAAGGCAGAATTCATCTTTAGAGTGATCACTTGCTGTAAAAGAAAATTAGATTTACTAAGAATGTTACATATTCATGAACCAAATCTTAGTTATAAGGACAATGCTTCTTTTAGAAAGGTATAATCTTTTTAGGATTGTAATGGACAGAATGATGATATAGTGAAAAATCTGAGTTGCTATCATATATACAATGTTAAACATGTAAATGGAAGTTAGCAATATTTTTATAGTAATCAAGAGTAAAAGAGTCTATTCTAAATAAAAGTAACCTATAAACAGAGGAAGATTCTAAATAGGCTAGAAATCTCGCTTCTGGAATGTCCCTTAAAATCAGAAAAGACAGATAGTTTCTTAACTATTTAAAGCTATATATTGTCCTATTTTAAAAATAAATTTAAAAAAATTCATGCCTCCTTGAGTAGGCAGATTATAAAATGTTTGGTTGATAGTAGAAAGGGCTTATGAGTTGGCTTTATACCAATAAAAATAATAATTAACATTCCTATAGTGTCTTATAATTGACAAGGCAGTTTGGTAGACTTCCACATCTCATTTATCTTCTCAGTAGTTCTTCAAGGTAGTTATTATTTGCACCACTTTACAAAAGAGAAGATTGAGAATTAGAGAAATGACTTACCACAGATCAGACACAAATTGGACCTCAATCTAGATTTTTGTTACTCTAAGTCTCATGTTTCTATTACATTAGTCATGCTGGCAGTTGGTATTAAAAATGTAGTTTTAGGAAAGTTCACATTTATATAATATCCTAATATATCTTTTACTGTATTTTATATATTAACTTTTGATATTAATGTGTAACATTAATTTTTAAAGCTGTTTTAAATACCTTGTTACATTTTACATTCAGTAGCTCTAAAATTATGTAGGAGGATAATGTTTTGAGATACTAAGACATGATATGAACTACCTATAGGGTTACAAAACACTCAGGTCTTTTGATCCTCTGGAATTACTATATGGTAATGACTATCATACCACTGGGTATAAATAGGGGCAAAATTTAAATTTCACATTTTAATTTAAGATTTAACATTGTGAGTTTTGTTTTCTAAAAAGTATATACCCATTCACATACTAATAAGTTAATGTTTCCCTTGAATTTCCATGGTTTTTAAAAATACTTAGATAACATTTAGAATAGTCCCTTGATTTTTATGTTAATTGCTAAGTTGATTACAATTTCTTCTAATAAATTGTTGAGAAAAAGTACCTTTTATATGTGCTGTTTCCTGTTCTCTTTGCTCCTCCTATATAAAAAAAAGTTATTTGTATTTTAAAAATTGAAGTTTTAATATAATTTTTAATGTATTTGACATATATACTTATATAAGAATAATATATTTTAACATAATAGATTTTTGAGGGAATAATGTGTTTTTCCATGATAAGAATTTATTTTTACCAAAACATATTGACAGAAAAGAAAAAGTGTTGAAGTATCACCTGAAAAGAATGTGGACTGGTTCAAGAAAGCCGTCTCCAGATTAGGGAATGAAAGGGTGAAACAGAGTTCAACAGGATTACTTCTCTCTATCCTCACTTAGAGTCACTTGGTTAGAACTAGAGAGGGCTAACAAAATAATTAGAATTCCTAGACTTACTCATTTCATTAACCACCACCACCACCAACAACAAAGTGAATGCTGGCTCAAGGCTTTTATAAAAATGCAACTATTCTTTTGAAGCAAATAAGACATTTGATGAAACAATACATTCCAGATGTGTTGTGAGGAGTGTGGTAGTATAGTAGCTCTCAAACTTTAGGGCATCAGATTCATCTAGTGTGCTTGTTAAAATGATGATTCTTGGGTGTAATATCAGACCTTATTGAAACATATTCTCTGGAAATTTGTACCATAACACATACCACAAGTGGTTCTGATTCAGGTTATCCTTCAACCACTAGAAAAACAATGAGCTAGTTCATGCATAGGGTGTTTGGAATAGAGTGGGTGTAATTGAGGCTGGAGAGAGAACATTGTCTCTTGTGTTCTGGGGAAACATTGTTAATACTCTGTGCTGATCTGTATTGTCCTGTCCCCTGAGGACATACATTAATAGGATAAACACTTTTTTTACAACCAACTTACTTCTTTGTCACTTTCACCTTTTGTTAATACAAATGCCAGTATACACCCACAGTGGCAGACAAAAATAGGAAGAAAGATCTTGGGAGTGAAGGATTCCAGCTCCACACCAGACCCTCAGCCCAGGGTTCCAGTGCCATGAAGATTATATCATCTCCAAAACTTCTGGCTGTAAAAACCAGTGGGGATTGAAGCTGTGGAATATAAAAACTTCTGGAATACCAGGCAGTTCCTCTTAAAGGGCCTGTACACAGACTTTCTCAGACTCACTCCCTCTGAGCTCCAGTATGAGTGCAACAGATTAAGAGGCATCAGAGATGTATAAGGAGGAAATGAATTGTCCAGGATTGGGAGACAGCTGCGGTGGGGACAGTTTCTTCCACACAGAAGCGCTGGCAGTGGCCATTGTTCCTTTCTGAACCCTCCCCCCACAGAGCCAGCAGGAGGACACCATATCTGAGACTACATCAACCTGGCTCACACTGTTTGCCTCACCCTGGTGATTCCCTGAGGCCATGTTCCACCTAACTTTCAAGCCCACCCAGGCTGTTTCCAGTGGCTTTTCCATATGAATGGCTTGTCTTGGCCCATGCTTCAGATTTTCCTAAATTCTCTCAAACCAGCTGCACCTGGCTGCAGCAAGTCCCATACTTCTTGCTATGTTGCCCCAGGTCCAGCACTAGCAGCAGCTAGTGTTGGTATACAGCTTGGCCACTCCTGGGCACTCCCAAGCCTAGTACAAGTAGCAGCTATCTGCAGATTGCTTTGTAGATTATGCTGTGTGACCCCAGACAGAACACAGGCAGTAGCTGACCTTGGATTTGCCAATAGCGATCAAGGTTCAACTACAAGAGGAGGGTGTACTCAGCCCACATGGTGGGTGCACCTTGAGTACCCAGCCTGGGTAAGAGGGGAGGCTATGTCACTGGACCCTAAAGGACATCTACTACATTAGGCCCCTTTTTCAAGCCAGGGAGATGTAGCAGCTCTACCTAATTCATAGAAACAACCACAAGGAGGCTGCCAAAATGAGGAGACAAAAAAACATGGACCAAATAAAAGAACAGAACAAAACTCCAGAAAAAGAACTAAACAAAATGGAGATAAGCAATCTACTAGATACAAAACACTGGTTATAAGGATGCTCAAGGAAATTAGTTAGGACCTCAACAGCATAAAAAGATCCAGTCAGAAATGAAGGATACACTAACTGAAATGAAGAACAATTTATAGGGGAACAACAGTAGAGTGGATGAATTTGAGAATCAGATAAACAATTTGGAACATAAGGAAGAGAAAAGCAACAATCAGAACAGCAAGAAGAAAAGAGAAACCAAAAAAATGAGGATAGTGTAAGGAGACTCTGGGACAACTTCATGTACCAACATTTGCATCCTGAGGGTTCCAGAAAGAGAAAAAGAAACGTAAAAAATTGGAAATCTATTTGAAAAAATTACAGAAAACTTCCCTAACTTGGTGAAGGTAATAGACATACAAATCTATGAAGCACAGAGTTCCAATTAGATAAACCCAAAGAAGCCCACACCAAGACACATTATAATTAAAATGCCAAAGGTTAAAGACAAAGAGAGAATCTTAAAAGCAGCAAGAGAAAAGCAGTTAGTTATAAGAGAGTTCCTATAAAACTGTCAGCTGATTTCTCAAAAGAAACTCCGCACACTAGAAAGGATTGGCAGGAAATATTCAAACTGATGAAAAGCAAGGACATACAACCAAGACTACACTACCCAGCAAAGCTATCATTTAGAATTGAAGGTCAGATAAAGAGCTTCCCAGATAAGAAAAAGCTAAAGGAGTTCATCACCACCAACTCAGTATCATATAAATATTAAAGGGTCTCCTTGAAGAAGAAGAAGAAGAAGAAGAAGAAGAAGAAAACTATGAACAATAAAATAGCAATAAATATGTATCTATTAACAACTGAATCTAAAAAAACAAAATAAACATACAAGCAGAACATAGGTACAGAGAAAGTTTTGATGGTTGCCAGATGGGAGGGGGAGTCAGGGAGATGGGAGAAAAAGATAAAAGGATTAAGGAGTACAAAATAATATAACAAGAAAATAGTGAACCTTTAAAAAAATGGTAAAAGGTAAAACAAGGAAAGAAAGTCAAAGAGCAAAGGAAACTAAAGAGACAAATACAATGTCTATCTTGGATTACCAAGAACATTTGTGTAAAAACTGGTGAAATTCTTCACTCATATGTGGAATCTAATGAACAAACTGAACTAACAAGGAAAATGGAGACAGACTCTCAGATGGAAATCAGTATAACAGCTAGTGGTTGGGGAGCAAAGTGAGGGGATAGAGGGATTAAGTAAAAAAGGAAAAAAGACTCATGGACATGGACAACAGTGTGGTGATTGATGGGGTGAGGAGGGTGTAAGAAGACTAAATGGTAATGGAAAAAAACATGACAAAGATCAAATTTTAAAAAACTGGTGAAATCTAAAGTCTGGAATTCAGTTAATTGTAATGTACCAATGTTGGTTTCTTAGTTTTGACAAATTTACTATGGCAATTTAAGATTTTAACATTGGGATAAACTGTGTGAAAAGTATAATAGAATTTGATATTATCTTTGCAACTTTTCTATAAATCTAAAATTATTCCAAAATAAAAAGTTTACTTAAAAATCATATGCAAAAACATAAACACATAAATTTTCCTATAATAAAAGTTAATAAGATATTCAGGGCCTTTATGAAAGTAATTATAAAGCTTTATTGAAAGGTATTAAAGATGACATGTAAATAGAGAGAAATACCATGTTCATGGATTAGAAACTTAATAATCAGTTTTTCCCACATTGATCTAAAGCTGCACTGCAGTTCTCCTCAAAATTCCAAAATAATTTCAGTAAATGCTACTAGACAGTTGGGCAAACATATGAAAAAAGTTGAAATTGGACTCCTATTTGCACCAAACACAGAAATCAATTGCAGATTGATTAAAGGCTTATATAATCAAAACTATAAAACTCTTAGAAACAATATAGAAGGGTATCTTTATGACTTTGGAATATGGAAGATAATAAATCATAAAAGAAAGGGTTGAGAAATTAGGTTACATTAAAAATAAAGAATTTTTGTTCATCACATCATATCATAAAAATAGTACAAAGGAAGGCCATAACTTGTCTGAAGGCAGAAAACAACATAACTGACAAAGGGTTAGTTATCCAGAATAAATAATTCTTTTAAAGTTTTATAATTAAAAGACAAACTTATAGAAAAAGAGACAAGATTTGAACAAGCATTTTACATAAGAAAAAACCATAATGGCCAATGAACTTTAGAAAGAACAATCACCTCATTTTTTAGCAGGAAAATACAAGTTAAAACTACAGTGAAACATCAAGAGAATGAGAAGACAAGTCACAGTCTGGGTAAAAATGTTTACAAAAGATATATTTGATAAAAGACTTCTTAAAAATATATAAAAACTCCAAACCCTGGCTGGTATAGCTCAGTGGACTGAGCGTGGACTGCGAACCAAAGTGTCACCGGTTTAATTCCCAGTCAGGGCACATGCCTGGGTTGCAGGCCAAGTCCCCACTTGGGGGCACACAAGAGGCAACCACACATTGATGTTTCTTTCCTTCCCTTCCTCTCTCTCTAAATAAAAATAAAAATAAAAAAATCTCAAAAAATATATATAAAAACTCTTAAAACTCAACAACCAGAAAATGTACAACCCAATTAAAAATGAGCAAAAGGACTTCCGGCCCAGATGGAGGCATAGGTAGACACGCTGTGCCTCCTCGCACAACCAAGACAGGGACAACAATTTAGAAACAGAATAACAACCAGAACTGACAGAAAATTGAACTGTATGTAAGTCGGACAACCAAGGAGTTAAAATAGACACTTTTATTCAGACCCATAGGAGGGGCGGAGTTGGGCAGCTGGGTGGAGAGGGGTCTCGCAGCACAAAGAGCCTTGGGACCAGGCGTGTAAGACCACAGCAGCAGACCCTGGGCGCACAAGCCCCAGCTGGCAGACCCTGGCTGAGGCGGGAATTGTGAAGCAAGGAACTGTGTGCAACCCAGGATCCCAGCGCTGGAAAATAGAGCCTCGGGGCACTGATTGAAATCACCTGTGGGGATTGAGGCACAGGGAGAGACTCCCAGCCTCA